TTAATGTCTATTAGGGTCCTGGTAACTTTTTTCCCCTAGTAAATATTAAATACTGAGTAATTACTAAGTGGTGTTAATTAGGCCAGCTGGAAGGTCTGAAGCCAGTGATTCAATCAATCCCTCTCTCTCATTCCCTCCCTCCCCCTCTCTCCCTCTCTCCAGCTCCAAGCCTTTCGTTCACCCACTTTGAGGGCCTCCTCGTCAGTGTCTCCTGTCCATCTACTGACCCTTCCACTGCTGTCACTGTCACTCACACCTGCACTCCTTTTTCAAATCTTCAAAATAGGCTCTTCACATTTCTGCCACTGGTGTGTCTCCCCTTCATGCCTCACCCATCTGCTCCTGCCACCTCCGTGGCCCTTGCTGCCTACTCCCATCTCTGCTCATGCAGATGTCTCAAAGCTGCAAGTTAACTCACTTAGGCCCTGATTAGATCTGAGACTTGCACTGTCTTTAGTTGTATATAAGCCAGGTCTCATCTCCTTTGGGATTGTGAACAACCTGAGCATGTTTCTAGCCTACCCAAAACCCTGCACATAATGTGGATGAACAGACTTGTAATATTCAGTATAAATCCTGAAAATACTGATCCCTGAGCACCTTACTTGATTTTCCTGCTAGGTAAACCGGAGCACCGCTCTTCTGAAGAGTTTGTCTGCAGAACGTGAACGATGGGAAAAAACAAGTGAAACTTTCAAAAACCAGATGTCCACCATTGCTGGGGACTGTCTCTTGTCAGCTGCGTTTATTGCTTACGCAGGTTACTTTGACCAGCAGATGCGTCAGAACTTGTTCACCACCTGGTCGCATCACTTACAGCAGGCCAACATCCAGGTAATGGGGTGTGGGGAATTCCAAAAAGGTGCACCACTTCTATGTTGAGTGACGTTTACAAAGTCTCCGCTTGAGGACAGTCCCCATCTACAGCTTTGAAGAAGAGGAAAGATAACCAGCCTCCCCTTTCAGTTCCGTACAGATATTGCGAGGACAGAGTATCTTTCCAACGCCGATGAGCGTCTTCGCTGGCAAGCCAGCTCCTTACCTGCTGATGACCTGTGCACGGAAAATGCAATCATGCTGAAACGGTTCAACAGGTATGTACTTAGACTCCAGAAAGAGGCAGGTTGGACATCTTATGTGTGGTGATCTCATTTTTATTTTTTTTGAAGCACACTAAGGAATAGAAAGTAGGCATGGGCAACTGTTCGTCTCTGGTGCTGGGTGTGCACGATTCTTTATATTCTTGCATCTTGATTGTCTGAATCATTCTGTAATGAGTGTTTCTTGTAACCTTTTAAAATTGATAGGCTGGCTGGTTAGCTCAGTTGGTTAGAGTATGGTCTTATAATTCCAAGGTCAAGGGTTCAGATGCCCATACTGACCAGCCACAAAAAAATAAATAAATAAATAAAATTGATTGGCAATCCAGCATCTCACCATAGGTTAAAAAAATTGATTGTGTGTTAGGATGGACGTTAAAACAGTTCCTCTGAAAATATTTATAAGAACTGAAAATAGTTAGGTAGTTAAGGGGAGATTGCTACCTGTTTCTCTGTGTGAGAAGGCCAGAAAAGGCTGGCCAGTTAGCTCAGTTGGTTAGAGTGTGGTGTTGTAACACCAAAGTCAAGGGTTTGGATCTCTAAACCGGTCAGCTGCCAAGAAAAAAATAAAAGAGGCCAGAAAGGATATAGAGTGTGACTGAGTGGAGGTGGGTGAGGTGCTGAAATCTGAGAGGAGCCATCAGGACTGGCCCCACGTTCGAGACGCTGCTCTCTAAGGCCTGGGCCTCTTCTATAGCACCTCTCCAGCTTGGACACCCTGGGCTGATTTTTTTTTT